GGGCCTGCGTAGTGCGCCAGCAGCGGCCGCCAATTCTCGCGCAGCGGCGCCACCTCCACTTGCCCGTCGGACACTGACACCAAGCCTGCGAAAGCACACAAATCATTGTTTATTTATCATGCTCTTGTTGAGCTCATTCTGTCGTCTGATAAACGTAAAGTAAGAGACAAAAATGATGTTATTAAGGCCATCCAATCCAAGCAGATCGAATTAAATTAGTTAAATCTCGTTTTTATCAATATCAATAAAAATGTCTATATGTATGCGAGCGGCAGCACTATACTATTTTTAAAACGACATATATGAACACAGTAATAGTTAAGAGAGCCTACATCCCTTTGTTTAATTAATTGGTAGCTGTATAAAGGCAACGGGTTTAATAAGGTAGGCCGTCCGCGCGTCTACTCCCACCATGTGCCTCGGCGTCAGCGTCACTGGGCAGAGACGTGCGTCCTAATGCACGTTTTCAATTGTCGGCACATGACCAATGGTCCCATTCAGAATAAAACGCACTTTATGGCAATGTATTAGAATGAATAAAACGTTTGTGCGGACCAACGCGCAGCAATTTTATGTCTGTTAACGGATGAACTTTAGCGCGGGTTCAATTTGACGGTTGGCTGTCCCACTTCTGTCGTACGAGCACGCCCGGGCACCCGCCGATCGCCGCAGCACATAAGACAACTAAACATATATTGCCTGGCAGTGTAAAATAGCATTGAACAAAGCGATCTCAGACAATCTATACTATTATACTATATACTATATATTATAATAAAGCGTAAACGCACACTTCTTTGTTGCCTAAGATCTCAGTAATTACAGCATATTTTTGAATTATTCCTATTTTTAATAAAGAGCCATACACTTACGTCACGCTTTAGGCTATATATTTTCACGCCGTTAAACTTAGGGGTAAATATTTTGGATAAAAACCCTAATGAGGGAAAGAGACCATAAGTTGTTGCCAACATCAAGAAAGCAAGATTGCTAAGGTTGTCATGTTGACATTTGCAATTGATAATTTGACAAATGTAAACAATAAAATTAAGTTTTGATATTATAGTTTTATGCGGATGAAGTCGCACAGGAACAGCTAGTTCCATGCAAAAATTAAAAATAAAAATAGCACCAGTTTTATTTTTCTTTGTTGTTTTAATTATTTTATACTTGGAAAAATCGTATATTGTCCTCTTTTGTTTCGTTTTATCTTATTTTATTTATTTATGTATCGAATGTACACCATATAATCTTGTCAGTAAATAAAATATTTTACAGTTGGAAATTGTTGTCTAACAAGAATACAAAATAACAAACTGTTTCTAATATAGGTACAATATTGATGGCACCGGTGCGTGTATGATGTGCTCATAAGGGGCACTGGGGGGGGGCTAACAAAAGACTTAACGCTTACCAGCCGGGGCGGCGCGTGCGCACCATGCCAAGGCAACGGCTACGCACGAGAACTCAATGCTAAGGGAAGCCGTCTCGTGTGAGTACAACGTACTAGTTGCATGCCAATTAAATATACACTGCACATGAAATCCCAACTTATGGGACAACAGATCTCTTTGTCATTTTGAGCCCAGCAGTCACAAGAATCAATGGAAAATTAGGATGACGAGAATGCCTCAATAGCTAAGTCAAATTTAAAAGTGATGGGGCTGTACCCACTGCAGATAATCTGGTAGATGCTCAAATATATCAATGCATACGATCCGAAAACTTCAAGAATAATGTGCGGAATCATTTTTAGAAAGATATAAATCAGGAGAAGGAGAAGCAGGTACGCTGATAATTAATTAAAATTTTGTTACCTTATTTATTGGACAACATAAAAAGATACATCGAGACGAATTGCTATCCCAATTCTATTGGGAAGTCGTTAAAATATTAAAGACAACTTAAAATACATTTATGAGAATGAAATCTGACTGAAAAACGATGCAAATCTTGTCTAATCAATACTAATAACGTCGATAGTATAGTGTTTTAAAAAAAAATTGCAACAGTATTGTAAAATACAAGATATTTGGTGTGCAGTTTAGCATGAGATGGTAGGTAAGGCCGGCAGAGCGCGCACTTTACACAGACGCCGCTATCGACCCGTTGCACAGCCCGCCCCCACCCGCGCCTCCCCGCCCACCCCACACCAACAGGCACATCGTACAGATTTACTTTCAACTAACGACTTAACTAGTTATGTTATGATTACAATACAAGACCTACACTCTACATTATATACAAAATAAATAGATTCTAAGCATTAGTAATAATAGAATTTAGCCTCTGTTACTCACAGATAAATTACCTTTCTGATAGTAAATGAATTTTTAAAATTGGCCCAAAGTTTTCGAGTTATTTTAATACATACAAAAATACAAATCTTTTCTATTTATAATATTAGTATAGAAGTATAGATTACTCCTATTGTGGAACAAAATCCGTTGTTACCACAGACACGAAACGTGAATTTGCAATATAACTTTTGTAGCATATGAAATGCTGTTTACTTTATTTGGTATACGTCATACCACATGAATTCCCGTCGAGCCGAACAAAAAGCCGGGTTCTTTTGTGCCTTTCGTTTACAATTAAGTGACTCCTCGAATCAGGTGCGACCTCTGAAGAGTTCTTCACAAATGCTTGCGCGACTCGAGTCCTTTACCAATCTCTAGAGCGTTTGTAAAAGGTCACTGGCTTAACTCAACATATTTATACATCAACATGTACAAATAACAGTGCGGTGTAATGCGAGGGCGGACTGGGAGCGATGCAAATATAGCATTGACCCTGCGCTACCTCCCGGACCAACCCTCCGCGCGACGATGTGGCGGTGCGGCGGAGCATCGGAGCGGCCGTGTCAGGGAGGACGACCGACTTCGCTCTAATGGACCGTGACCGCTCTTGCTTTAAAATACGCTTATATATAAAACATACGAAGTATATAAATAACAAAAAACTACGTATCCCTCGGGAAGCGGATAATTCTCGGGGATGAAGCTTATCCCATGTGTACTCCAGACTTTGTTTTATATCTGTGCCAAATTTCAATAAGATATGTTGAACCGTTGCAGAATGATCGAATAAACATAAAAAAAAACTAAATTAATGAATCCCACGGGAACCGTAACTATTTCAGGGATAAAAAGTAGCCTATGTGTTCTTCCAGAGTATGCTCTAAACCTGTGCCAAATTTCATGGAGATCCGTTCAGCCGTTTAGGCTACAAACGCTAACAAACATCCATCCATCCATCCATCTAAACTTTCGCATTTATAACATTAGTAAGAAGTAAGATATCACTCTTTATTTATTGTTATGAAAAAAATGTAATGACTAATCGATATTTTTTTATTTAAGTGTTATTTAAGCCGTGCCAACACATCAGGTACATGAAAATACACTAGTTTTCCCATCACAAAATTTTCAAAGTTACATGTTTATGTTCATCTATTTTTTATTTATTTTCAAACATTTCACCATTGAGGCGATTCCTTGAATTTGAAAATTTTCTCTTCTCCCTCTTGTAGCGGCCGCCCTCTTTTATAGAAGGTGCCGGTCTACCATCCTAAACACCGAGTAGGTGCTCGGGTTTATGAGTACCAGGGCTTACCAAAACTGACTCGCTGAAAAGTACACGCAGCATACTTGTTATCAAAATAAACATACGGCGAATTCGCCGTTCACCAAATTCTGGGCATGCCAGTTACCAGTGACGCGGAGCTGCGGCGCAAGGCGCGGCCTTCGCGACCACTACGTGGGTCTCAGTTCGAGCGGGAGCTGTCGGCGGGCGCACCCCGCGGACTTCGCCTCTATAACATAGGCCCGAGGAGCCATATCGGCGTGCGCTCGCCTGTCCCCGATTAAACTAGACCGGCCACTGATCTCACAATCAACCGTTTGCTTCGCAGCGACTCTATAATAATAACACTAATACACTTTGCTGTTACGATCTCAATAAAAAAACAGATCGTTTTAATGTTGTGTAAATTAAGTTTGTGTAACTTTAATAACTGTCCCGGTAGTCAATATCTGCGCATAATACTCTGCAATGAACACACAGACATCTTTAAAAGCGTACAATCTGACATCGACATAAAATTATAAAAACAGCCCTTTAAAAGGACTAATTAATTGATGTACAGTGCAAGCTGAACATAATAACATGACAACTTAGATTTGCGAAAACTTAATAAAGGATTCGTCGTATTCGGTAAGGTTATTGAACGACCAGCTGCATTTGTGCGTCACCCACTCTCCGCCATTGCAGCCAGTAGTAGTGCTGTACGTAGTGTAGCAATTATAATTGTATTATAACTGCTACACTACGTACAGAGAATACGCGTCTTATTCACATTCTTGAGAAATTTGAACCAAACTTATATTTTACTAACTGTTGTTTGAAAAAATTAGAGTATTCTAGGTTATTCCTGTATACATCACTTATCATCCATTATTGCGTCCAGCTGGTCCAGCTGTTTCGGAGATTATCCGGAACAAACGCGAACTAGCGGAGAGACGAATATAAAAAAGAGTCTTTTTTTATAAAACATAACAAATATACATTATACATACATATAAATTAAAAAAAGTATCATACACATATACATTTAAAATTTAATTATGTAAATACCACATATGGACAATCTAATTTCATTAATCTAAATATAGACTGATACAGATTTATTTCCACGAAATAATTAAAAACATAGAAATTCAAATCTTGTTGATGTCCTAAACATTAATTTTAACAGCTAATGAAAGGACTAGTACGACTATAAACAAATAGAAGTCAAGGCTGGCCCCGCGCCATGCCCCCTCCCAGCGGAATCCGTCCGACCTCACGTCTTCCGTAACGGATATCGTGCACATCCGCATAACAATCACATCTTTACAAGAACTTACTTTTGAAGTAACAATCCATTGGGAATATATGTAATGTGTTTGGGATTTTCTGCGTACGTGCACTAGCTCGGTTTGTGCACGCCGTGGTCATCTCCACCGCCGACTGCGTGCTCCGCACTCGAACTAATCTTTAACTCCTCATTTCAATATGTAAGGCAAACAGCTAAACATTATATCG